CGCCCTTTTGCTCTGAGCATGGGAATAAGGTGACGACAAGGATGTACACAGAAGCCTCAACCCTCTACTGTCAGTTGCCTCAGGCATTGTCAGGAACACAAGGTCAGGGGGCCTCATACAGGCTACGAGGAGGCTGGTACAGCAAAGTAGCAGGTCTTCCCGCTAGTGTATCCCAGCAGCCCAGCCAGCCATGCACTCCACAGACTCTACTGCCAGTCACAGAGGAATGGTCTTGGGAACGCTGAGTATTCATATGAAGTACCCAAGGGACAGGAGCTCACAGCCTCTGGCAGCTGGACTGTGGGCTTTCTGATGGCCAAAGCTACCATTGGTCCCTGGCCCTGCCCCAGTCTCTAACCCCCGACCCTAGGCCACAGGAGCACCCTCTATGTTTTAATTTGGCAACTTCACCCAGTCACACTTGCTGGCCCCCAGCCTGACGCAGCCTTCAAGGTGGGAATGGGGAGTGAGTGACCTGGGAACCCTGGGGCAAGGGATAGGGCTGGGCAGGTCTGTGGCTGGCCCGTGTGCTGGCTGTAGGCACTGTCAGAAGCATCATGTCAGTCAAGATCTGTCAATGGATAGATGATGCAGACTCCTGCAGGTCTGGCCAGGACCTAGTTGAGGTTGTAGCTTGATACTTAATTATATTCCAGAACAAACAGATTTTTATCTGTCCTGGTTTGGTGAAAGAGCTCATGGTCTGAGAAGTTTCCCAGCTGGTATAAGAAGCTGTTTGCTGTTTGGATTGTGGAGTAATCATCCCAGTCACCTCCAATAAACCATCTAAATGATTAGGGTTAGGGTTAGAATTGAGGGTGGGGGTTCAGAGCTTGGTAGCCCAGTCATGCTGCCCTCCAGGACCTGAGCTGCTGGCAGATTTGACACAGTGCCCAGGGCTCTGGGGTATGAGGGTGTTACTAGTGGGGGAGGGGGTCTTTATGCCAAGGAGACATCAGAGGGTGTTGTGAGGGGCTTTGCAGGCCAGGTAAGTGGCTTTACTTTGAGGTCAGATGCTCCGTGCTGGTATGGAAGAGGGCTGGGGCTTTGGGGATATCCCTGGCTCCTGTGGGGCCGCCTCCAACACCGGGCCGTGTCGTCTGTGGGAAGCCTGAAAGCCCCCATTTCCCTGAGCCATTTACCAGGACTTCTACTTCTGTGGCATCACGCTGGACACCGGATGTGTGGCGGGGGGAATGGAGCAATAAGGAATAGGAAAAATTAGACTTATAGCCCCCCAGGAGTTGCCACAGAGAACAAGGAGGGCTGCCTTGAGCCTCAAGTCTAAGGGTGATGGGTGCGGACAGAGGCTGGGGAGGGGGTCTGGTAAAGGACTGGTTCACATTCTGAAGGACACAGGGAGAAGGGGAGGGGGCAGTAAAAGCCACCAGTGGCCCCTGTTCTCTTCTCGGCTGCACAGAGATCGACAGAGTCCCTGCTGGGTGCCCACTGGCACTGAGATGCAGGGGAGGGCCAGAGAGGCAGTTCCCGCACCCACCCTGGGTCAGAGGCTCCTCCTGAGAGACCCAGGCCCTCATCCCACCCCCATCCCAGCCTATTGGGGCCCCAGTAAGGCTGGACTCTGTCACAACTCTCACTCACAAGCATTTCCACACCCCAGGCTTTATTGAAGCAGCAGGTGCTGATGTATCAGTTACAGAAAAGTTTCCTTAGCCACCTCCACCCCCTTTAGCCTCCCATGGCCCCCTCTGCTGCCAGCACCAGCAAACCCTCCACCCACACCCCAGCAGAAATTTTTCCTGAAGCTCCTCTCATCCCATTTCTTGCAGCTCTAACGGTCTGCACCAGGGTCCCAAGAGACGACTGGTTCCTAGAGGCTGCCCTTGATTGTATTACATGATTTCCATCCTTCTATGGATATGACAACACTCTGTAAAGCTTTCTTGAACTGTGAGAAACTGCTTCGCTCAATAGTACAGTTCTTGGGCAATTCTGTTGGCTAAATAAGAAACACACGTTTAAGTCATCTCCTTAACAACAACAACAAAAAAAAAAAACAAGCAAACTCTTGTCCTCCAAGTCACAAGGGTCCTGTAAGTTCCCCACCCCCTAGGAGGTAACTCAGGCAGACCTCCTCTCTCTGCCTTAGGGAGGGTCCTGGGGGCATCTCCTGATGACAGTGGGGCCAAGGGTCCTAGGGCCATCCATAGCCTTGGGCAGGGAGCCAGCAGGGTATAGGCAAGGCCCACGCTTTCCGTGACAGGGACATGAGGACAAGCAGGGTAGCGATTCACAGAGCACTGTGCAAGAGGTAGATGAAGAGAGAGAAATGCCTCAGTCAATTCCCTACAACATGCCCCCTAGACCACTGCCCACCCTCCCATGACGGGTTCCCAGGGGGCTCCGCAGCCCAGAAGAAGCCCTAAGGATGGGGTGAACTGGAACAAGCTTGGACTAGCTGCCTGACTCAGGTCTGCACTGAGGGACACCTCCCCTCTCCCCAGGCTGAGTCCAGAGCCAGCCCTGCTCTGACCTGCTCACACTGACCCCTAGCCACGGCGGTTTGGCAGAGGTCACAGGCAGAAACCTCCAGAAAACCCCCTGAATCTTCACTCCCCCATCTTCATCCCTCTCCCGCCCCCATCAGTGAGTGGACTGCCCCCAAAAACAGCCACCTGTTTGGCCCAAGAGTAGCACCTGAGGCTTTGCATGTGGCAAGTGGGGCCCATAAGAAGCCCTTTGTCCCACGGGGCCCCTGGCCATGGTGGCAGAGAAATGATGGTTCAGGTTCCCCTGAGAGCAAATAGCAACTTACTTTCAACTTTGTGCAGATTGTGGTGAGTTCTTTCATGTCCTTATAAACCTTGTTGATGTGACAGTCTTTCTTGTTAAGTTCAGACATGTTCTTCAGGGTGGAGATGAAGTTCTTTGTAAACTTCCCATAGCAGACCTCCTGAAACAAGGTTGAGGGGACTGCTATGGTGGTGGTGCACAGCGGAGCACCAGCTGACCCCCAGCCTCATCCATCCCCGGCCACTCTGGCCAGAGGGAGCCCTGGACCCAGGCTCAGGCCCTACCCTGACTCTTCCACCAGAGACCCGTGGACCCTGCAGGGCCGTGCAATGGAGGCAGTGGGTGTCTGGCCCCCCCTTGGGCCGTGGCCTGCTCCGGGACAGGCACAGAGAGCACAGACAGGGCTGCCAGCTGCCCCTGAGGGCCCCGTGAAGCTCTGCCCCCTCAACCTGTGGCCTGGCCACTGGTTCATCTGCTATCTGTGCTGGAGGCTCCTTCCTCAAACTCTGATTTCTCCCCACATTTCTCACTCCAACATCCCTTGCTCGTATCTCTTTCCTGGGTGGTGCCTGGGGTCATAATTCTCTCCCTGTTCCAATGTGGTCACAGAGGTTCAAGGGGTGGCCGCTCCTTACCTCGCTGGTGTTCTGCGGCCTATCGAAGGAGCCCTGAAAACAGGAGAAGATGGTCAGAAACAAAAAGGCACTGAAAACAGAATAATTGTTTATGAAAACCCAGACTTACATTGTATGTACTGTTGTCAGCCAAAAGTTCTTTCTGAATCTCAGCGCAGATGGCTGTGTGATTTTCATGGAGAGACGCAGTGGTGATCTTCATGGGGGCAGAATGGCTTCTGGACACCCAGAGTGCCCAAGCCAGGACTACGCACAGGTGCATGGTACAGCTGCAGGTAGCCATGAGCTGATCCGAGCCTTGGGCTTGGCAGCATTTCTGTGGGGACGGGGTACCTATATATGTAAGTCTAAGGAAATGCTAAATCTCTTATCAATGATCGCTGGTTTACAACAAAGCCTGAGAGGAGCTTATCTCTGGGCAAGATGTGCTTTTCATGCATTTTCCATGCCCACAACCCACTTCATGGATTCTTGTCTTTACTAAAATTCAGGCTTGGTCTAAGAACTTTTATTTGTAATCACAACTGGAGTCGTGACCTTTCTGCCTGAGTTTGGGGTGGGTCTTGGGCCAGGACTGGGGCTGTCTGCAGGTGCTGGCCGGACAGAGACAGCAAGTGGGGCCGACACACGGTGCCCAGACGGCTGCAGAGAGAGGCAGCTTCCCCAGGCCCACTGGTCAGGCAGGAGGCCAGCCCCCACTGTGCACCTGAGGCTTTGGGACACACTCACTGCCTCACAGTCCCCAGGAGGGCCACAGGGGATGAGGCTCAGGAACAAGGCTTCCAGCCTGGCTGGCAAAACAAGGGGGAGGGGCGAAGGCAGCTGTTTTCTCATGGATTTTAGGGGAAAGTGCCTGATTGGATTCAAAACTTCGTGTAAAAATAAAAACCAGTTTAGAGAAGTGTCACACAAGACCCATACACCAACAAATTATGAACTTACTTTCTGACTCTCGAAGATTAAAATCATCCATTTTGGGGAAAATTTGGTAAATACACCGAGCTCTGACCCCTGTGGTTTGGTTTCTTTTTCTCTGAAAAGTTTGTCTGTTGGTTGATTTACCTTGGGAGTGGTTGCAGCCCTGGTATGTGTGTGGGCAGGGGATGGGGGACAGGGCCCAGGGCCTCTGAGGGACTCAGGTTGTTTGCCAGCCAACCCCCAGGAAAGAAGATGCCGCTTGTCTGGGGCAAGGTTCCAGCTGGGCTGGTCTCTGAGACTTCCAGGTAAACCTGTAACCCTTCTCTGGAGTGAGAGGCCTTGGGCACCCTGAGAAGCCCATCAGGTGCTCAGAATGCTCTCCGTGGCCCAGTGCTCGACTCCCCTTGGCAATCACAGAGTTACCCCTCGGACAGCACCCAGCCCGCTGCAGGCCCCCGTCCCACCCTCCTGCTTCCTCCTCTCCCTGCCCTGTGGGCACAAGGGGCACCACCAGCATTTGCTTATTGTTGAAAATAAATCAGAAAAACTGCACAATTAAGAACAGACTTTTAATAACTTATTGTTATGGTTAAAACACCTCAAATAAATATGGAGTAGAAGCTTAAATAAATAAATAAATAAATAACAAATATATATAGATAAATATATAAATAAATATTAAAGATCCCTGCCAGTGTAAAACATCCCTCACCCTACTATGCCCCCATCAGGGTCAACATGGCCCAGGACAGGTCCATTGCCCCCATGGTGTAGCCCACCCCATGGTCCCTCCAAGGCGAAGATCCTGAGTTTCTGGCTCCGTGCGTGTGTGAGACGGCAGCCACCTGTGAGGTAGGATTCCGGGCTGGCCACTGGCTGGAAGGGCTGGGGGTGGTAGACTGGTCTGCCTAACTCCCTACACCTACTGCCAGCAGTCAAAGGGAACATTGAGCAGAAATTCCTCCAGGTTTTGTTTGAAGATTTCGAAGGTGATAGTCTGGCGTTGACAAGCAGTTTCCTTTAAAAAAAAAAAAAAAAAAGCTTGAGTACCAGGCATGAGTGAGTAACATGGAGACACGCCAGTATGTTTCTGTGCCGCCTCTTAGAACTCAGAGACCAGAAGGACCGTTCAAGGGCCTGCTCGCTGACCTGGGTCAGGTGACACTGCTGACACCCCTGTGTCACTCAAGGGATAAATAGCTCTGCCAATGGCAGGCGGGGCCAGGGGCTTGACCAAGGGCCAACCCCTGGCTGCCACCTCCCTCCCTGTCCCCCAGCCTGAGGCTGGTCTTCTGGGCATTCGGACCATGACCTCTTTTATCCCTGGCCAGGGCAAAGCAACCAGGCTGAAGCCATCTTTGGGTGCCCTGAGGGGCAGGAGACCCTCCCCGTAGTGCAGGAGTGTTGGGGCCTTGTTCATTCTAGGCATGCAGGCCAGGGGAAAGTCCTGTTGGGAGGTGGTCCAGCACTTCCCCTGGACTTTGGCCAGGCCCTGAGTTTCCTTGAGTTTGCCTCACCTCTGACCTCATTAATAGTGATAATGACAGTAACAACAAATAATACAGCAGCTCCCTGCTAGGGAGTGCTGTGGGCCTCCTAGCTCCAAAGCTTTAACTCCTAGTGATGGAAATGGGCTGGTCCTTCTCTGGAGGACGAATCATTAAAAATCTGTCTAGACAGAAACCCTCTCGGGTCCTGAACAGCCACCCAGAGGGCACAGCCTACTAAGTCCCCACCTTCCTAGGCTAAGACTTTCCTCCTTGGGGCCCAGCACTCGGACAAACGATGGCCTAGTGTGGGCACTTACCAGGGTATGGGGACAGTGCTTCTGATAGTGTTCGGCCATTATGTTCAGGGGGCCCTCGAGCCTGGTGAGGCTGCCCTGAAGGCCCTGCTTGTACAGGTCCAGACGGGTCTGCAGGCATGTTGGCTTCTGTGGGAAATGTCCATTCTTGGTGAACAGTGGTCAAGTGCCCTGGTGGACACAGGACACCCTCCCCACCACTCTTTCCTGTTCTCATCCCCATCCCCCTAAGAGTCTGGCCTAGAAGGATCACGGCATGATTCCTGACTAGTTTCATGCTGGGTCTGGTCATAAACACTGCCCTGTCCTGTCCCCTGTAGGCACAGGTCTGGACCTTCCTCACCACCCAGGCTCAGGCTACCCTCAGTCAGCACAGCCATAGCCCTTTGGCCTGGCACCTCTGGTGGGTCTCAGCCACTGGGGAAGGAGATCACTCCCCCCCGCCCCACCTACCATCTGGGAGGAGGGGATAGGGCAGGGCATTGCCGAGACCTGTTTTTCATGCAAGGGTTGTTCCTGAAGCCCCTCGGTGCCCCTCTGAAGTCAGCACCCTGGCTCCACAGGGCTTGGGCCTTGAGGCAGAGGGAATGCCCCAAGCCCACAGTACTGCTCTCATGAAGTAACATCGGTTTACCCACCTGTAGCCTGGATCTGCCTGAAAGCTAGATCTGCCCGTGGCTGCTCAGCTGATTAAAGGAGCACACGTGATTACCACAGGGGCAGGGCCAGCGGACTCTTGTGCACCAGGAAATAGCCCGCCCCCCTCCTGGCAGCCACCTGACTGGAGAGTAAGGGACAACCCCATGAGGGTCCATCTAAAAGGGAGCAGCCCCCACGAGCAGAGAACCCTGGGAAGGTGTGTCAGAAAAAAGCCTCTTACCTGGGGGTCAAACTTTCCTGAGACGACATGTACTGCTTTCTGTAGAAAAGAAAAATGTCATGTTATCCAGCTGATGGGGGGGCCAGCCTGGGGCTGCTAGGCAAGGGGCCACCAGACATAGGCCTGCCAAGCACAAGTCTGCACATCCCCCTCACTCACTGTCACAGTAGCAGTGCCATTACTGTTCCTCAGGAGGTGTAGGGCCTCCTGGATGGCATCGACGTGCATTGAGGGCCGGGTGACAGGGTTTTCTGTGGGTGCGGAGATGCTGCAGGCCACAGTGGCCAAGAGAAGCAGGTTCTGCAGCCACATCCTCCTGAGGACTTTAGCCTTTCTCTCTGAGTACTGGGCTCACTGGCAAAAGAGCTCTTATATACACAGTTAGAGGAAATGATTAATGGTGACCACAAAACGCCTGGGAGGCGGGGGAACTACCTGAACTGTGGAATCTCCTGGCCCTTATCAGCTACACATGGGAACCATGAGCCTTTCCCCTAGGTGGTCAGGCTCGGGGGTTTTCATTAATGAGCCCTTCCAAGAACCTGCAGCCCACCCACCCACCTTCTTGAACCCTCTTTAGCCCACCGTGGGCAGTCTGACTGGCCTGAGGCTATCCCCTTCCTCTGAGGGGACTCCAGGCACAGCTTGAAATTTCTGGTGCAGAGTGGTCAGGACAGGGCTTGGGAGGCATCTGATCAGGTTCCAAGACCCCTAGGCTCCTTATCCTGCCTGATACCCCAGGAGGCCTTTGGGAGCCTACCCACCCTGGTGCCCATTTGGACCCCATTCTTCCCCTTCCCCTCCCAGAGCCCATTCCACTGCCCACAGTAAGGAATTTAAGTGTGAGGGGGCTCTCACAGGCCTGTCTCACTGGCCATGTAGGCAGAGTCCAGCTGGCACAGTCACAGGAAGCCCCCCCGCAACCAGCTGTCACCAATGACACAGAGCAATCCACGAGCTCTGCCCAGTCGAGGACCCCTGCCCCACAGACCCTATAAGCAGAGGCAGTGGCAACCAGCCAGTGAGGTTGCAGAGCATTCCTTCATGGTGAGACCTCATCTGACAGCAACAGCCCAGGTTTACACAACCATATTCAACCCTTAGGCTGCAGTGGTGGTTTGGGGCCCTCAGCTGGGGCCAGTCAGGGACCTGAGTTTGAATCCTGCTGCAGCATCACCTATGAGTGACCCTTCCCTCTGGGCTATGTGAGCCTGAGGCCCATGACTCACCTGTCTCTGCAGGGCAGGCTCCCCCTCTAAAGTGGACACGGACGCTCCAACCTGCAGCACTGGCCGTCACCAGGAGATTTCGGGGCCGGCTGCGGGGTCATGGCTGCACACACACCAGGTACCTGGGACAGCAGCTTCTCAAGCAAGGTCTGTCAGGCTGTTTCTTACATGGCCCCACCTCCACCCCACCTCCAGCTCCAGAGGCCCCTCTGTGGAAGCAGGAACTGCTTCTGGAAAAGCTACCGGCTCTCCAGGGGTGGACAAGTGTTTGATTTTCACAATAGGGTTTGGAGAGGGCAGCATGAGTTTGCACTAGGGATAAGCTGTTCCATACCACGAGTTTCATGTCCATATGTGTCAATGGGATTGGATGCGTCTGTATTTACAGGTGTGTTGGGGAGTGGGAGGTTGTTTTACATGGGGGTGCATCCATGAGAATCCCTGCCCTTCTGAGCCTAGGAAAGCCTTCCGAGGTGTCCAGGCTGGGTGTGGGGATGTGGCACTTCCGGGCTCTGGCCCTTCCTCCACCTTTCCCAGAAGGCCTCTGCTCAGCCCCTTCCAGGGAGCTCTCAGGAGGTGCGATGGCCAGGAAGGGGGGCCAGTGGGGAAGAAAACTATGCGCAAACGCCACAGTGAGTGGATATGGAGGAGTGAGTCGGCACACTGGGTCTGTGTCAGATGGGGCTGGAGGCTGGGGGTTGGGGAGTGAGGGCTACAGGCAGAGGCTTCGCTGGTGGCCAGAGAGGCAGAGAGCTGGTGAGCCCACTCTGGAATGGAGGGTGACTTTCCTCCTGGAAATGAGTCATCACAATTCAGAGAGTTAGTTCACAAACCTTTCCAATCTGGTCCAGGCCCTGTGCTGAAGAGGAGGTGGACAAGACCCTCCCACTGCCCCTCACATGTGGCCCTTGAGGCTCTCAGTCTGGTAGGGGAGACAGGCCGCAGTGGACCCTCCATCGTGTGGCCCAGGCTGGGATAAGGGAAGTTCAAAGCTGAAGGAGCCCAAGGAACCACCTCCCCAGTTTGGGAGTAGAAGGAGACCGGGATCTTCCTAGGAGATGCTGCCTCCCAGAAGAGGCTGAAAGGGCAAGTAGAAGGCAGGTGGTCAAGTTTGGTTATGGGAAGGAGGAGGCAGGAAGGATACTGAAGAGTGTTCCAGGCACAGAGAAACGCAGAGGCAAAGGCCTAGGGACAGGTTAGAGGGCTGCTTGACTCCTCATTCAGGATGGGCAGGTTCTAGTGATGGAGAAGAGCCTAAGTGGCAATGATTTGTTTGGACTTGGCCCTATGGGCTGTGGACCAATTTGGGCACCATAGAAATAGTGACTTTGACGAGGTTTTTAGGAACAGGTATGGCAGGAGGAGGCAGATTCTAGAGACATTTAGGGGGTAGAATCTTGACAGCACTTGGTGATGTATTGGACTCATTCACTCATTCAATATTTATAGAGCACCTACTATGTTCCTAGCAGGGGAAAGGGATACAAGGATAACCAAAAACAGGAAAACAGGCTCATCAGCTCAGTGTTAAGGGCATCAACCAAGATGTGCACGAAGGATGACGGAGTGAGATTAATGTACTCACCCAACCCAAAAGTGTAATTTTGAAAGTAAATGTAAATGCCTGCTGTCCAGGCATCCAAGATGGGGTCCAGGAGACGAAGCGGCATGTCTGCAGCATGTAAGGGCCCACGGGAAGGTTCAGAGTTTAGAGGGTTGCATGTGCAGGAGAGAGATCCGGGACTTGACCATGTTCATGTGACAGCTATGCGGGGAGAGAGCTTAGGGCCAGAGAATAGCTGTGTTTAAGGGCCAGGAGGCATGGTAGCTGGGTGAAAGATTGGCCAGTGGCCAAGGTCCCTGGGATGGCAGGAAAGGAGGAAAAAGCAGGAGTCACAGGGAGAGATCCACACGACTGTGGCCCACAGAGACCGAGGTCAACTCGCACGGGAGAGAAGTCCATGGGTTCAGTGATGAGGTTCGTGAGATGACATGGAAAGATGACATCAGGCTGAAGCCACGACATGGGCAGGCATCCCTAGATTGCACCATGTGGAAAGAGCAGAGATAGCATCGAGCGACCGCAATGACTCAAGGCCACAGTGGGGACCAAGATGGGCGGGTGTAAGTCCTCTTTGCCCTCTCCCCACCGGGCCAGGAGAAAAGCCTCTGGAAGGGATTTCCTGTGAGTCTCCTTCCCCACAGCCCTGGAGGAAATGTGGGTTTGGGGCCGCCCCGGGATCCTTATTGCAAAAGGAAGTTGTGGAAGGAAATGGGCCTCCGAGACCTTTGCATCCTGTGGGACCTCTGAATGGGTATCTCAGTTGATCTGACCTGCCCCATGCCTGTCAGATCATTGAGGTGGAGGTCCTCATCCTTGCTGGGGGTCTGAGGTCCAGAGGGCCAATGGCCAGCCCAGTCCACACTGTCAATAACGCCAGAGTCAGGATTTGAATGCACATACATTCCTGCTACCCTGATGTTTTCTACTTCTTGGGGTCAATAAACCAGGAAGTGCTTGTCACCTGGCTGGACCAGCAGAGGGATGGACCGAGCATGCTTATCCCCCTCAGAGCATCTGCAAAACGAGATTCCTGCCAGGTGTTGGCAGGGAGGCTGGAGTGTCCTCTTACTGTTCCAAGGAAGCTCTGGGAGCTGTCAGGCAGAATTTGCCCACCAGATCCAGCTGTCCAGGCACCTCTGTGCCTCAGGCTTGAGCTCTTGTGCCAGCCCCACCACCACTGATTCCTGTGTAGCCTTGGAAAGTCCCTCCTCTCTGAGCCTCAGCACCCTCATCTGTAAAATGGGTTTAATTATGGCTGTCTCACAGAGGAAATTTTCTCCTGCCTAAGGAAAGTCAGTGGGAGAATCCTCCCAGGGAAGAGGCAGTGCTTCCACCTTTCTCCCTACCTTAACAGCTTTCTAATGCCCACACTGGGCAGAGGACCCAGGCTTGCTGGAATTTTCAGGGACAGCTGCCCATTGCCCAGCCCTAGCCCCAGAGAGTTTCTTCTCAGATAGATGTGGTGAGGTGGAGAGTCCAGCCTCTACCCAGAGTCGGGGCTCACAGGGTCCTATTCTGCCCCTGCCATCACCCTCCGGAGACCCAGGTACAAGGATGCCAGGAGGGGCTCCTCCTTCCCCCAAGGGGCTCTTGTCACTTCAGGCCATGCCAGACCCGGAGCAACCTCTCTGGCTTTGTGGTCTTAGCTCCAGGCTGACTCCTCTCACAGCCACTATCTAGGTCCCCAGAGATGCATGTCAAAATGACAGGCTGCCCTGGCCAAACTTCAGTCTGGTCCTGCTCACCAGGTGTTCCAAGGCCCCTGGCACTGGTCACTCCTAACTGGCCTGGGAGTATCTGAGGGTGGTCCAACCATGTGTGGACCTGCATCCATTCCACCAAGATTTCAGGAGGGTCTGCTGTGTGTGGAAATCTCTCAGCACCTTCTACTCAGAGAGCTCACTTCTGGTAGTTGTGTGGGGTGGGTAACATGGAGGACAAGGTGCAGGCTCATCAGCTCAGAGTTAAGGGCATCAACCAAGATGTGCACAAAGGATGAGCAGCCCTGAGGAGTGGTCATGGAATGAGAGTAAAATAAGTCAAGGAAAGGAATCAGTGGGACTTCTTGGCTGTGTGGTTTGGGGCAGGAGGTGAGCAAGAAGTCTCTGAAGCTCGAGGTTCTAGTCAGGCAGCTGGGTGGACATTAGTGCCATTTGCTGAGATGAAGGAGACCCAAGGTAGCAGAGAGGATGCAGTCCAGGCTGGAATGGAATGCCAAGTTTGAGAGGTCATGGAGACTCCAAGGAGAGACTCAGCTGCTAGTGGCCATGTGTTTGCAGAGGTCAGGGTACAAGGAGGTTTGGACGTCATTGGTGAACAGGAGGTTTCCAGCACCAGAGAAGCTGCACAGAGGGACCCAGGACTCAGGTAGTGCCCAAGATGCCAACTCTTAAGGATGGGCCAAGGACAATGAGACCTCCTTCTTCATTTTATTCCTTGGTTCCTGGGGCTTCCTCACTGTGTCCCCAAGACCATCTATGCCCCATGCACACACTCAGGCAGGCAGTGCTGGTGGATAT